TGGCTTCCTTTGAGAGCTGGAGAGCATCTTCCAGTTGCTACAGCAGTAAGTGTATGGAAGCATGCACCAGTGCAACCTCTCTGCTGGTTTGGACACACCTTAATCCCCTCCCCGCCTCATTTCTTGCTGCCACTTGACTGTATCTGTGAAGCAGCAAGAGGCAGTAGTACAGCTACAATAGAGATTTTAAGTGAAAAATATGAAAGAAGTCTTAAAAGTACACCCTGAAATGATTATTTTTCTACTTAGAGCTTGCAGGATTGAAACACGTGATAGCTGTTCAGAGCCTTTAAGGCAAAAAAACCCAAGAAAAGTATCTTTTATGGAATGATACTTCTGTATCAAGAATGATTGTAAACTACTTTATAAGAAAGTACTTGAGGCTAAAAAACTAATAGTAGTCCTGGTCGTGACTGCATACATGTGCATGTCATAGTACATCATGTCATGTCATGACATACCATGACATGGCATACTTAGTCATGACTTTGTGCGTGCTTCACTTTTTTTTTTCCTTCCCCGCCCTCCCCCCTTTCTCCTTAAATAGTAGTCTGAGCTTTAGAGCAAATCTAGTTAAATTCAGATGTTAACACCTGCAGTCATTTTCTTTCTTTTCCTGTGGTTTTATTTGCTTCAAGTAATTGTCAAAGAGTGTTGTTACCACACTTCCTGTTTGAAGCCATAGTGAACAGTATGCAGTCAAAGGATATAAAGGGTTCACCCTTAAAAGGAACTTTTTATAGATGTTTTTTAAGAACACCAGGCTGTTCTTAAGCTGTATAATTAATAAGTAGCTTTATTGTAATTGACCCTCCACAGCATGCAGCATATTCCTGTTTGGATCAGCTAAGGTAAGTGCTCTCTAACCTGCTTTTTGCCAGTAAGTGTGAAGAGCTTGGAGGGGAGATTGGTTTCTTTTTTTACCCTTCCTCCTTTCCTGCTCTGTTTATTTCCTACAGAAAAGCTAATACTGCTTTAATAAGAAAAATTGCTGATAATGTAAGAGAATGTGCTCCACCCCCACTATCCATTAATGCAGTGTTTGCAGTTACTGCCTTTATGACTGGTATTTAACAGTAAGTAGCAGTTTTGGGTTTTGCATTAGATCAGATACTGTGGAATAAACTTCAGAGTAATGAAAATTACCTTGCTGGTTTTCACTTTAAATTTTAAACATTGTATCCTTTTTAATATCTTCATTTCTTCATGCTACTTAAATTTTCTATAAATGGGATGAAATTGAAGTCATACATAAGGTATGAAATCCTTAAAATGTCACAAAGTTGTTCAGCATGATAGTCTGGTGTGTTCTTGCAATGTGAATCACACACTCTAAAGTAAGTTGCATTCAGAAGGTTTAAAAGGGAAAAAAACAAATAGGTGTTTCACCATTCATTACTCTGATTAACTTTCCGGTTCAGGCAGAATAAGCGCCTTGTCTTTTTGGCATGAGCTATATGGTGTTCTGCCACTCTGAGCACCATGAACTGTGTAAAGAGTGAAAATGAGGAGTGACAGAGCTGTCCTCTTGAACTATGTTCTTCAGCCTCTGTCCTCTTCATCTGGCAAATGCAGCAACACTTTCGAACAGTGCCATATTAAAAGCTTGAACCAATGACAAAGCAGACAACTAGCTGTGAAGTATTGCACATGTTTTGGGACCTCATTAATTGCGGCTAGGTTTGGGGTGCAGTCCAGGCTTTGCAGAAGCGCTTTCTCACCAGATTGCTAGTGGGCTGGTACGACATAATTACCTGACTGGTAGCTGTAGGTCAGTGTGGTGCTTTTTTCTTTCTTTCTTTCTAGCCGATAATTTGGAAAAGAACAGCAGAATTTTCCTGTTTCAACTTGTTCTTTAAACAAGCAACTAGTAGTGTAAGAGAAGTCCTAGTGTATTGCTGTTGACATCGCAGTGCCAATATGGCTTTTTGCCTTTGGTTTAATTGCTTTTTTTTCTTTCCGTTTTGGTGCGGCAGATTTATACCTGATCTTTTATGTTAACTTGGCCATTGTAAAAATCACTTGTTTAGCAGAGTGGGGGTGTAAAATTCCAGTGCTCTAACAAATACTGCTAAGCTTTTGTTTGCCTTTTAAGAGCTGCACCTACTGTCAGTTCTCTCCAGACTTAAAATTATGTCCTCCCACCTTTCTTTTTTTTTTTTAATTAAAATCAACAGATTGAAAACCTGCTTGATACTGCTTGCAGAACCATGAAATGAAAGGCAAATGTGGCACTGTACAGGCTATAGAAGATAAAATTAATTAAGAATGAACATGTCATCAGAGACTATTATTCCCGATCTCTAGCTTGGCTTTGTTGTTCAGCAGCTTTTGATTTAAGGGGGGGAAGTCAGTGTCAAAGAGAACTCTGTCCTGGAGGGCCGAAGTCCTGCGTGTTGAGAGGCTGGGTGGAGAAAATCTTCTACATCCTTGAGTATTTTGTAACCAGGAAGAGCCTTCTAGGCTCACAGGAGTTTGCACAAGCCCTTCGGGTTTGTTCCCAGGGCTTCAGCTCAACACGGCACTTAAGGCTGCAGCGAGCTGGAGGAGCGTGCCAGCTATCAGCAAACGAGGAGACGGATCGACAGAGGAATCTCCCTGCCCTTTCCATGTGCGTCTGTCTTCTGTACACGGGTGTAACAGCAGGATGGAAGTTAACCCTCTGTGAGAACAAGAATTTAATATGTTAAATCTGGACTTTATCAAACAGAGATTGTGAGGGAGCAATAATACGAGTGTCAGAACTTCAGGAGCTGCAAATCAGAATATTGGGATACTTGCGCAGCAAGAGAAGCCCACTGCAATGTATCCATTTATAGCTCTGGCAGGTTACGATATATTAGACTTCAAAATGCTCTAACTTTGAGTACTTGCTTTCTCAGTTTCTCATAATCTGAGCAGCTAGCATCGGGGGACTATTGCTGCGTTTCAGAACAACTTGGAGCCCATCTTCTCAGAAGTAAAACCACCAAGTTTTACAGAGAGTTAAGCTGTGCAGCTACTGGACTAAAATTGCCAATTGTTACAGGCTTAACAGGAGTTAACCATGTTTTATTTCTAATTTTGTTACATATTGAATCAGACTTAGAAAAGAATTGTGTAGCATGCAAATTCTGAGACTGTAGAGAACAGTATTTTCTTACCAAGCTTTTCTATGTTAGTCCAGCTCTTGTGATCTAAAGTTCATCAAACTTTCAGTAGCCAGAAGAATTAAGAAAATTATGTGAAGCTACCCAATTATGAAGTGAGAACTTCCTTAGAGACTTTTAAAGTTATTTTCATGTTTGAATTTCACACTGTTTGTTGATAATACCCATGTTTTATTGCAGCTTATTGACACATACATAGGATTTGGATGATCATCTTTGAGGTAGAAAAAAAATCTTCTTTTAAGTAGTTAAAATATGTCATATTGGCACTGTACTAAGACCGTTTTTCTGAAGTGTCTGACAAAAGAAAGCTTGTGTAGAAGAATTTTTGGAGTTTTCTTTCGTTTTTTTCTTATCCTCAAGGTGTTCTGTTTAATGAAATTGCTTTGCTCTATATGGTGTTAGTGATAGGAGAAGATAGCAAAGCATTCCCCCCACCCCCCTTCCTACTCTGATCTTTAGGCAAGAAATGCCACAAAAAGGCATATAGACTTGATTTAAACACTACTAGTAGCTTTTTCAAAGCTGGAAGAGACAAGTACTTTTACTGGGGTTTTGCTGTTTAGATGGTGTTACTTCAGCATGCATTTATTTCTTGAAGAGCCTCTGTTAGTCCCTTAAAAGGTAGGGAGTGGGACAGCTTCCCAGAGGGTTTGGACTTAGTACAGGGAAGGTGCTACTGTATTTCTTTATGTTGTGTGTTGTAGCCAACAGTGCTGGAAAGTACCTGGCTAGTAGTGGCTGCACAGTACAGTAACTTGGCATGTGTGTAGTAAATGAGGGACCTCACTGTTTATGTGCTTAGCATGTAGAGAACTGATGAAAGCAGCAACTAAGTGGGACTGCTCTGCCACAGAATGTGTGTGTATGGACATATACATGTGTAGCTTATGTATCCCATGGAGTCTCCAAACCACTTCATACTGTGAGGAATTGCATAACATGATGATGAATAGTTATGCACACATTTCTATGAATGAAGATGCAGTCGTGTATAGAATTATTAAGGTGTATGCATGTAAAAACTTCTGAATACTCATTATCTCGCTTTCTCTGCAAGCAGAGTATGTGATAGATAGCAAGATAAATGGCCAGAGTGAAATCTCACAAGAATTTTTATTGCACTCTTATTGAAAGAAACCGGGTTAGAGATTAACCAATAAACGTTATTTTAGCAAAGGAATGGTTGGAATCTGGAGCCTCAGTTGTTCCACATGAGGAATTCTAGAGGTTTAAGGAAACAGTTTCAAACTCTACAAATAATCTCCTATTTTGAAGCCAACTGTACATGAAGCAGGAGGGTAGAGAGAGCAGGAGAAAAATACCTTGAGCTGACCAAGTCCAGCCATTTTGCAAATTTTCCATATACAGAAATTTACCTATTTGTTTCCTCAAAAGCATGCCTTTGCTTGACAGCTATGCAACGGAGTTGGTGTTAAATACTATTTAAACCTCGTGCTGTGAATGGACTGTGTAACTTTTCCATTGAGAAATATGAAGTGTCAATAGGCACAATTTCCTAGGAAGTTTAAAGCGGTGTGTGTGCAATTTTCACTTTCTAAAATGACATTTGAAAGTTTGAAACAGATCAAATGGAGATGACTGCTAAAAGATTGGACACCAGTTCTTGATATCACTTTATCTAGCCAAAGCTGGAATGTAAGCCTCATGGATTTTTGGTATATGCCATTTTTGGTAGTCACCTTAGAAATAAGCATGTAACTTGTTTCCTAGTGTCTCTTCAGTCTGTGGTTCAAGATATTACCAAGAAATCACTGGTGTGGGTGGTTGTCTGGGAGCATGAGATTCTGTATATTCTTTCTTTTTGATGTAATGTACTTTTGTTTTCAGGTTCACGCAGCGCTAGGGACCAAAGAAGCATACATAACATTTTCTGTGGTGCTGGGACCAGCCTTCTGAAAGAAGACTCTAAAATAACTTTTTGCCTTCAAGTTGTTTGTCCTGGGACTGACGTGTCTTTGGAGAAGAGCTCAACAGAGAAAAGATTTTAGCATTGGAACCATTATAAACCTATTTAAAGAACTGGCTACCTGGAGACAGATTTACAAAGGTTGAGTCCTGCTTTTCATCTGTGTTCCCACTTCAGACTGTAAACAATGAGTGAGTTTTGGTTGTGTTTCAACTGCTGTATTGCAGAACAGCCTCAGCCTGTAAGTATGAATATTGACACTGCTTTGGTTTTGTATAATTAACTACATCATCCACATTCTCAGGTTTTCTTAGGGCTTTTTAAACTAGTGCTGTTTGGCCAAGCTCAGTGAGAACTAAGGAATTAATTAACATCCTGGCTTAGTGGGGACAAAAAAATGTCTGTTCTAGGCTGTTGTCACACAGATATTTTCCTGTCCTTAAGATCAAATCTATCCAAAGTCTTTGGAAAGAGCCTTTATTTGTTTGAATTGCAGAAGAGGTGAAAGGAAGGGAAGGGTGAGGAGGACCTAAACTATCATTCTAAAATAAGTAATTTTTGAGTAGAGATCTTTAAATGTCCTGAATTCTGTATGGTGTAAGGCCTGCCTTCAGATATGGCTGGACAATGATGAAGGAAGGAAATTACTCTGTTAAAAAGTCCAGAGTGAAATCCAGTCCTCCTCCACCTTAATGTAATTAAGGATTTCAGCCTTAATTGTTTTGTTAAATTTTAGATGAAATCTTAGGAGAGTGAAGGGATGCACTCATACCATAAATACTTTTTTTTTTTTTAAAGAGAATTTGGAATGGCTATTGTGTGAAAAAGTACATAGCAAACAGCTGGATGAAAGAACATTTCAAAGCATACGTAAGGAAGACAGAAAGTACAGAAATATTCTTGGGTTTCATACACTCTAAGTACTTTTAGAGTGTGTTCCGGAGTCCAGTGCTGTTGGGAGAAAGTCTGCCTGCATGAAGGTGGACTTAACCAGGAACATGGTTAGCACTGTGAGAAAAATCATTGTGTGGTATGGCATCCAGATCAAGCTAAATGAATGTATAGAAAGAACGGTCATCTTGCAAATACATGGAAAAAAGCCCAGTTACTACTAATGCATATGCTGGAATTACAGTGACTGAGAGAATCCCAGAGTTAATAGAGCAAACTCACATTAATGTGCTCACTTGATAATATTTGGCTTTAAGGAAGCCAAATTAAAAAACCAATAAATCTAATGTTAGGCATTGCCATTGCACAAAGCCTGAATGCCAGACTGATTCTTGGGTAACAACGCAAATATTAAAAGTGTGAGCGTTAATATTGCGAACAAATGAATGCAACTTTTATCTCACTCTTAGTTAAGTAGATTTGTGGGACATGAACTCTGAGATACCATCATGAGAAGCTGCAATCCTCTCCTGTTGCTTGAATACCATGCGGTCCTTTAAAATGCTAGCTGTGTCCATATATAGCCAAAGTTACGTGCCTAGTTTCTAGAACATGTATTTCAATTAAAAGTAAGATATGACTGTTAAAAATCTTAGAGACAGAAAATGGCATATTCTGTTTGTTTACAAGAATCCTGAGGCTCAGTCCTTATAAAATCTTGACTCAAGCTTTATGATACAGTTAAGTTATTGCCAAGAAATACATGGTATGTTAATACAGCATGTAGTGATCTGTGGGTCATAACTCATGGAAAGGGTAGAAAATGTACTTCAAAAGTGGAGATAAGGGAAACAACCCATTTTTGTATGTTTCTCCTGATCTGGTGGTGTGCATTTGGTTAGAAAATTAAAACCATCCTTATGTTTAAGATATAAGTAGCATGTTGCTAAGCATTGACCTAATTCCTCAAATCTGCCTTTTAAATATTGTGGGAGCCTTGCTTATTATGAAATGCCAAAATTCTTCAGCATGCATCTCAGAAAAAAGAGTTGTGGGCCCTCCTTGGCATGTTTGACAATAGGCACTTAGTTGCTCTTCCCCTGCAGTTACTCTGCTCATTTTGCTGTGTTGTGTTGTACAGCTGTTGTTCTGCTATGCACTGTTGCAGTAAGTGGAGTATTTAATCAGGTAAATGTACATCTGAGTAAGTACAAGAATGTTTTTCCTCTGACAGGTAGCAAAGCATGTACTGTCAGTGTGAGCAAACTGATAAACCAGACAAGTGGTAAGGAAGCAGTTTTGCCCTGTCTCTGCAGGTGTTGTGTGATTGCATGTTTGGGAGACTTACATGCTGAAAAACATGCTAGTTTTTAGCCCCAAAATACTGGTACTTATTGCCCTGTTGTAGCAAAAGATAGGTGAAACATGCAAACTTGCGTAAAAGCTACTTGGCTGTCCCCTACCGTGCATTCAGTCTGTCACTTTAGTCCACTTTCTCAGGAGAAATGCCTCATCTGCCGAGTTTCATCTCTTTCATGTGCCTTCTTTCATATTACCTCCTGCATCTCAACTTCTTCATGGCCTGACTAACAGTGTCCCAGCTATGACTATCATGTTCAGCCATTACATATTCAGTGTGCTCCTTCTGTGGAAGGACTAAGGTGGTCTTGTAGCAACAATAACAACCACCAGCCTCTTGGAATAAAGACCTTGAAAGCAGGAAGTTACTTAATTTGCTACTTGTTTTGATCAATGCTTAAAATGTTCCTTTTCTTTTTAAACTTACATTCTCTGAAACATGATTTTTTTCCTCATTATCTTTGCCAGGTGCTGATATCTGGGACACCTTTAATGTCATGGGTAGTGACATAAATTTTAAGCCTCTTCAGTAGAGAAGAAAATCCTGGAACTTTTAGTAATTGCATGTTTCTGTGATATTTATAGCTTCCTTTGAGCTAAGGAGTTTTCCTCCTCTCTTGAAATCCAGGATGCAGGAACTGTCTCTGTAGCTTTCTTCAGGCAAAATTCTAGCATATTATAATGGGAATCTTCAGTACAGCATCTCTATTCTTTACAGCTATAGTGCACTTAAAATGAAAAATGCGCTGATTGAGTCCTTTCAGTCAATTTTATAGAAGACTATTATTCAGACTGTACACAAAGGCATTTTCTAGGTTATTGCCAATACTCTGTATGCCTTCCAGACTTGCATACTGATGCGTTCCAGTGTATTTTCATGGTTTGAACCATGTCTTTTTAGATAAGATTTGCAAACCTTATGGCAATAGGAACACATTACTTAGCTTATTTCACTGCCATTGCTTTGCTGATAGCATACCCCAAAGCAGAACAGTAACAATGTTGCCGTTATATATTAGTAGACTTTAAAAGGTTCCTTAATTAAAAGACAATATTCAAGTTTTACCATCATCTTTTATTGAAATGTATCACAGCACAGCTTTTTGTCTTTTGTCAGTGCTAAATGGATGCACTGTGTTGCCGCAAAATAAAACACAGGCTTCTTGGAAAGCAGTGTTCTACTCTCTCTCCTAATGCTACTTTGGTTGCTAAATATTTCACTTGGTGTTCCCAAGACTGCAGTACTCACAATAAGATCATGGAAGGGGCATGTTTGAACATGGGTCTCTATCCTTTTCTGAAATAAGATGATAAATGAAGAAAATGAGTATGCAAAGAAACAAAACTAAATAATGATACAGTTGAAGGAAGCATGTTTCTGATGGTGGCTTAGGTCTTACTTCGTAATAGCCTGGGGTCTTTACCACAGTAGAATGCAAACAAAAGCCAAGGGAAAGTGTTCTCATATCAGCTTCTAGTTTTCTCTTGTCAGATTTGGATTGATAGTATATCTTAGCACAATGAAGTCTTCAGACAACTAGTTGCTTTCATATCTGTTTTCATGATACCAAGGAGGTGATACTAATCTCTTAATAACTATGTTCAGGTTTTCTTGGTTGTTTAAATAGCCTGAATTCAATCTCTTATGATCTGACCCAAACCTTTTTTGTTTTGACAAGAGTAGCACTTTCTGTGACTGCACCAGGTTTCTTACACCTCCCACTGATAGCCTTTATAGGTTCTTTAACCTGATCTTGCACTTCCCAGTGACAAGAGGAGTCTTTCTTCCCATGCGTTCTGTGTGCTATCATCCCATCCACTGCTACGTTTCAGTAAACTCTGCCAAATCCCCACTACCAGATGCACTGCTTGGTAACAGAAGTTTAGAGAGCCTTTTATCTTGCAGGTTTTCAGAGAACATGTCTGTGGTTTCTTTCTTAGGCTGAGCTGTCCGCCTACACCAGGAATCTGTTCTTTTCCTCCACTTTTTTTTTTTCATGTTTTGTCCATTTTTAACTTGCAAAGTTAATTTTTGGTCTGAGAAGCCTTTGGTCGTGATCTGGTGCACTCCCACCTGGTTTTGGCTACTGCCCAGTACAGCTGACCCCTTCGGTTTCCCTTGACCTTGCAGTAAAATTACTGCTCTGCTATAAAAGAATAAAAGTGCTGTCCTCCTTCTTGCACCAAGCTTTGTTCTCTAGTTAATTAGTTTCTGTTTTGTTGCTTGTCTCTTGTTTAGATTACTTCCATTTTGTATTTTGTCAAAGGGCTATTATGGTTTTGCTGCATGCTATGCCATAAATGTTTGAAGTGGTTTAGAAAGTGAAGTTTCCTTCGTGTCTTTTTGCATGTATGAAAGAGGACTGACAGATCTGTATTTATAGTGGGGAGCCCCATCTTAAATTACAGGCAGAAAAAGCCCTGCACATATTGCTCTATGTATCAACTGAACTGAACGCTGAGTGCTACAGAAGGCATAAATGATCTTGACTCTGGTTACTTAAGGAAATTAACCACTGGTGGATATTGTCAGCTCTAGGGTTTTTTTCTGGCAAGGATACATCTACCACTGCAGCTCTTAAAAACTGGAACACAGTAATGATAATGAAGCATTCAGTATGCATGACAAATGCAGAATAAATCACCCTCGGTAGGCAAATCAGGTGTTTGCTACTGAAAAAGTACTGGGCCAGGCTCCCTGTTCAATACAGCAGTGCTGTGCAAGCGCAGGTTCTGGCTCAAAATGACTAAAACTCAGGCTCTCTTACTCATTAAATTTGATCAGCCTACCACATTCAGTAAGGCTATGAAAGACTCAAGACGACTCTAGAGAGCCCTCAGATTTCAGAGGTGTCATACTGAGTTACATATTGAGCTGCCTGTTCAGATGTTTCAAATTCCTTCTTTTTCCTGTTCAGTGCTGTTGTAGAAGTAGCCTGAGGGAACACCTTATCAAAGGGGGCAGAGTTAAATAAGCAGCAAAATGCTTGT